CTTTCCAGCGCCGCAAGCTGAGGGATCGGCAGCGGGATCGGCACAGCGGGGCCGCCTGGCTGTGAGGGGCGCGGGGGCTGCGAGCGCTGTGGGTCTTGGTGCGCGCCTTGGGTCCTGCCGCACTCTTGTGCTTGCTCTTTCCGGAGCTCTCGAGGTGTTGCGCACACGCCGCCTCGGGAGGGTAGGAAGTACCTTTGGTAAGTGAAGGGTAGAGATGGAATGCTAAGAAAAAGTGTTCCCGGAGGAAATTGGAAATGCCTCTCCGTGAAGCTCTCCATAAGGCTGTGTCAAGGAAGGTTTAGTCTTGATGTTAGAAAAACGTTCTTCCCCCGGGGGTGGTTGGGCACTGGAATAGTTTTCATTTCATTTCATCCCCAGGGACGTGGTCACAGCGCCAAGCCTGACAGAGTTCAAGAAGTATTTGGACAAAGCTCTTAAGCACATGGTGTGACTCTTGGCGTGTCCTGTGCAGGGCCAGGAGTTGGACTTCGATGATCCTTGTGGGTCTCTTCCAACTCGGGATATTCCGTGATTTTTGATACCAGGCTGTGTGATGTATCCAGTCCATGGAAACGAGGAATTCAGGGAGTGAAAGCTTGACTAGAAATATAGAGAGAGGGAAACCTGATGCCTAAAAACTGCCAGCACAGCACTTGGTGTTTGTTGTCCTTAACCTCAGAGCCCAGATAAGCACTGAGGCATTTTCTTTTTTAACCTATAAGAATGGTCTCTGTCCTTGCAGTGCCCTGACCACCGACTCAACCAGTTATATCATGTCTTTACCATGTTTTCATTATTTCTCAGGTAGCCTCCTGTCTTTTGCTGTAATGCCAGATCCACGCCAGATGCAAGTCTTCAGGTTCCTGTTATCACTAATGCAGCTGCAGCAGTTAACACCATCAGGCTGTATCATGTCTGCTACCTATAGCAAAGTTCTGCATGTTATATGTTGGTTTGCCTACAGAAGTTACTTGAAGTTCTGTAGCCATGTTGTCACATTAAGAATAGCAGCAAGTCAGTGCTTTTTAGAGACAAGAAAGAATCCAGGGATATAATAAATATTACTTATTCAGGTACACCATTTACTCTTCCAGTGTGTGGATGCCCATTCTGCCATTTCAATATAGAAATAGGAGCTTTTAGTTCAGTATTTGCTCTCAAGGTAGAGGTAGGTAGAAAACTGCAGGCAACATGAAGGGTTCTGGCAGCCCATGGCATGCTTTTGCCATGGTCTGTGAATAATCAAAGTGTGGGGTATGAAAGAAGATGTTGGTGAGGTCATGGCACAGACATGCAGTCATGTTACAGAATGCACAGCTTTTCATATTGTACACCAGTCCCACTGCCCTGTGCTTCCATACACATTAAACATGGGATACACCAGTATTTCTAGTCATATGACTGACACACATTTATTGATATCTGACAAGTAGAGGCATACAGTTTGTGAGTGTCTCCTTTATAAACTGAATAGCTTATCCCTATGGAAAGGTTAAGCATCAGTGCTGTATTCACCATGAGCCTCAGTATGAAGCTCATAGGACTAGGAGCCTACACCTTTCCTAAAAAAATATGCCTTTGGGGGGGAATTCTGTGATTCTGACTGAAAATTAAGAGAACAAGTCTTTCTATCTAGAGGTTTGTGTTGGATTTCAATTTTTTTGGTATATCACTGTTGTCAAACTTTTCAAATTAGTACGTGTAAGTAGAATTGTACAAACATTCAAGAAAAAAAATTACTCTTCTTCTGAACCAGTGTAGTGCAAGAGGCACATCCATTAATTGGTAATGGCATGTCATACTCAAAAGAGAACTCAAACCATTGAACCTGGTTTTTTTGACTTGCAGGAATGTATTTTTCAGCAGTTTGTATTAAATTGTTTTTTCTTTGTAGATGAGGCCGAGTGAGATCTGTTTTCACGCTGTGGTTACTGTTACAGCTCGTTCTTTCTAAACATACAAAACCAACTGTTCATTACAGTGCACAGCTTGTTAATAATCTCTTACAAAATATTGCAATAAAATATGACCCACTGTAGTGGAATATTCCACTGTAGTGGAATAAAGTTCAAAAGGTATTTTTCCTTCCTGTAATTTTAGTGCAAGTGGAATTCAGAAGGTCGAACGTACAAATCACCTGATACGAAGTGTTGAACAGTTGCTCTGTCTCCTTTGAGAATTGGTGTAACACTGTCGTATGTGACACAGTGCATATAGTGTTATTGTGGGTGTTCTTGACAAAGAATACTCACCAAAGTGTGCCACATGTACCAGATCTTTTCTTCTTTCCTTCACACATTGAGTCAAGGAGTAATTTTCAGAGCACAGAAACTTGGTAGCCTTCATTTGTCATGTCTAGCAATTTGAATGTTTGACTAAAAGCTTGTAGGTTATTTCATTGATTTAACTACAAAAGCCAGGAAATTAGTAGCAAGGAAGTTATATTACTTTGCCAGTTTTCTCACAAACAAAATCAGTGCTAGAAGAGCACAAGGGTGCATGTTTGTGCAAATAAACCAGTGTTGATTCTGTATAGTTACTGGTCAAGATTTACATAGTCTTACATACTGAAGCTGTGAAAGGATGTCTGTAAACTAAGAATTTTGACAGAGAAGAGCACTTATTTCATCGTAACATGTATCCATAGTCTCAAACTGTCCAACATACCATATTTGCACTGAAAGACCTCAACTAGCCAACCAATAAACCCACAAAACCTTGACAATGAAAAAGGAAACAAGTAAATGGTTATGCTGACCCCAGAAGTTTTCCATGCCTTTATTTGGCTTCTGTGTCACCTAGAATGTTAGAAGGTCCAAGAGCTCAGCAGTGCTTCGGTGATCTACTGACTCACACAAAGGGGGAAGGAGAGCAGCAGTCATACTTCCTGGAAGTTCTGGGACAGCACTAATCACATAATTTAAATATTGATAATTAGCCCAAAAAGCAAATGTACCTGTGATTGGGCATGAAACACTGAGCTGTTTTGAAGGGAGAAAACATAATACCCAAAGAAATGGGGACCATAAGATGGAGGAGACTCTGTCTGGAGAAGACAGAAGTTTTGTGCTATGAGTACTCATGTTTGTAATTTATTGTGATAACACTTCTATGAAGGATTTTGATTTCATTTAATTTTATTCTTGTGGCTGATAATGAAGACAAACTCACTTGGAATGGTGTATCCATTAACTAAGAAGAACAAGAGCTCCAGTTGCTGGAATGACAAAAGAAAATTAGTGATACCATAGATGTTGAAAGTCTTTTGTGGCAAAAACTTCTGAATTTCTTTTGCCTTGGAGCTTCATGTGATCAGCAATAACAAAAATTCAGAAACAAAATTGCAGAGGTTTCAACCAGAACAAGAACATGAATCCCTACTGTTTTATTAAATTGATTAGCAGTAATTCCACAACTGTTTTCATAGCAAGTAAATATCACTAATACTCATGGTAAAGTGGCCAAATACTTCCATTTTTATGGGCAAACAAGGGAATTGAGATTGTTTAAAGACATGACTGAAACAGTGAATTGTCTGGTTCAGGGAAATAATATTACTTGATCAGATGGCTTTAACTTGTCTTTTTGAGTACCAAGAGTGCCTTTCAGGTCAAAGAATTCCAGACCTCTAAAGCTTTATCTCAGCAAACCACAAAATAAAACCATGCAACAGTACATGCAATTCAGAGGCTGATGAAGGAGATAAAGTGCAGTGACACATTGAAGTCTGTGAAAAATCACTGTGAACTTGATAGGAAATCCATGCAGGCTTCCATTATGCACTTAAAAACCTCACTTTTGAGATTTCCCTGATTTACTGACAAGAAGCTGCATTAAATTCATTAGCTTGGGAGCAAAGTTTGAGTTTGACCCTATTTAGGAGGAACTTAGATTTCAAAGACGCTATGGTGGATGTTTCATACTTTGGGATTATACCATAGATCAGTATAAATAGCACAAGAACATAAGGAAGAGCTCTTCAACAGATTTCCACTGCAGGATGAATCTTTACAATGTCAGTAAAAACAGTAGTCTATTATGACTAGACATTCTATTTCACTTCATTGTTACTACTAAACTTCCTATTTTTATGGTGCCTTAGTAATGATGTTCCTTCTATTACATTTTAGTATTCCTATTCACTTAGTCTAATAAATCCCTGCTTCTCTGCAGTACCACTGATCTGGGAAATGTTCCTTCTCATTTCACAAAGACAGAGATAAAGAAATGGAAAGTGCTACAGTCAAAACAGCAAAGACAAAGGCTGTCCAATTAGGTAATTGGACATGTGCAAAACAACCAGAATTCCAAAATATCTCCTGAATGTTATTGAGACATAGATTACTTTAGGGTGAGTATATTTGAGTTTTTGCATTTAGCATAGTTTCAAAATATGCTTGGAATGCAGAGCTGTAATGCATATAAAAATTTTCTGTCCAAATTAGAATCTTCTTCATAGGAATTTCTGTATGTTACTTGTTGGATGTACTCTGGTCACTGTCCGATACAGGATATTTCCAAGAAAAGTGGTATAGCCAGATGCTGTGCTGGGTTCACCTGAGTTCATTTTCCTCACAGTGGCTGTGTTTTGTACTTGTGCTGAACACAGGGTTGATAATACAGGGATGTTTTTGTTACTGTTGAGCAGGGTTTGCACAGAGCCAAGGTCTCTTCTGCTTTTCATACTGTAGTGCTGGTGGGGCTGGGGGTGCATGAGAGGCTGTGAGGAGACACAGCCAGGACAGGTGACCCCAACTGAGCAAAGGGATGTTCCAGACCATGGGACATCATGCTCTGCATATAAAGTGGGGGGAAGAAGCAGGAAGAGGGGGACATTTGGGGTGATGGTGTTTGTCTTCCTAAGTAACTGTTAGGTGTGATGGGGCCCTGCTGTCCTGGGGATGGCTGAACACCTGCCTGCCCATGGGCAGCAGCAAATTAATTCCTTTGCTTTGCTTGTGTGCAGCTTTTGCCTTCCCTATTAAACTGTCTTTATCTCAGCCTGTGTATTTTCTGGAGGTTTAAAAGAACTTTACACTTCTAATTCTCTCCCTGATCCCAGTGCTTGTGAGGCGTAGTGAGTGCGTGGCTGTGTGGGGCTTGGCTGCTGGCTGAAAATTATTGAAAATTAGTAGGATGATCAGAGTGGGAGGAACAAACAGCAAAGTATAGTATTTTTTTATCTTTAATACAGTAACTGTACAATTTATTTATTTAAACCAAAACTGACATGGTGACATGGAGTTATAATCTCATTATTCTTAATTACAGCTTCAGAGGCTAGGGAAGGAGAATCAGCAGTCTGAGGTAAGACAACACTGAAAGAACTTCATCAAATGCTTTTAGAGACCTCTGAGAAGAACTGTTGATGTTCTTAAAAATTGAATATTACCTGCTTCACAACTGTTCTGTTTGAAGCGTGACTTTCCCATTCTGCCCATTTTTACTTAATAATGAAAATTAAATGTTACACGTAGAGATTCTGCTGCCTTTTACCATAGATAGTTTTTCTAAAAATACAACAGTTCTTCAGTGCATGCTTTTATGATTTCAATACTTGGCCAAGGATGAAAACAGTAATCTGACTCCTTACATACTTTCAGTGATACGCAAAGTTCTGATGGATAAAAGGATTTTCTGAGGCCAAAGCTAATACCCATATTTACTCATTCATTGTTTTTAAATTAAGTTCTCTTTTTAGCAGCTGAGCATCAATGGTTTAACTCTAGGAGGATTTTCCTCTAAAGGTATTTTATTAATGTAAACGATTTCTTTGTCAGCAGATCTCAAATAGATTTTTGTTGCTGAAGAATATGTTGTTTTAACAGCACATATCTATAAAGATTTTAAAGGATGTAAAAGATGCTTATTTTAGGCAAATTTTTACTATGATTTAAACAAGGTGAAGAAAACAAATAATGTATTCTGATTTTCCAAAGTCTTTGCTTGTATACTTGCTTTTATATAAATTCCAACCATAGTAAATTGTATTGTGGTGAAACAACCATGAAATTGATAATGTAAGTCTTTGCAGAGAAAAATGAATTTTTTCTCTCTGATACAGGACATAGAATTGCAGCATTTGAAAAATAAATTCTAACTATAAGTCATATTCTGCTTTCTCTCCTCAATGAGTGTTGTAATAGCCCTTCTTAGCATCTAACTACAAAAAAAAAAATGCTGCTGAAACAACTTTTTCTGACAAATATTTGAAAATGCAACTGATCGATGCACAGCACTCGCTTCACTGATTTACAATAGAGCTTTTGGATGCACTCTCAGATTTTGCAAGATGAAGGTGTACAATCTACTAATTAACTCGGGTTACAAGCTAGGAGAAAACATGTAGTAAAGCAAAAAGAAAAACCTCTGAGTTGAAATAAGCCAGGCAGAGCTGAAAAAGGTCTGTGTGGGTTTTTTGCCGCTTTGTTCTGGGTTTTGTCTTAAGTCCCAGTAAAACAAATTATATGTAATTTCAGTTACTGTATATATACTTAAGTATCCTTTTTTCTTGTAATGTCCAAAACAAGAAGGGTGTTTAGCGAAATCAAGTTTTTTTTTTTTTAAGTGCAAATTAAAGTTTAATTCAGTACAGCTTGAATTTCAATAGAATTTAAAGCATAGCACAGTCTATGTTTTACTGATGTCATTAGAATAGTTTATAACAACTTTTAATACAAATTAGAGAGTCCAGAGCATAAAAGGAAAGGTAAAAATATGTATATTTTCAGATCTTGAATAAGATTGCCCAATCAACAAAGGAAATGTGTCATGTGTATATACAAACTGAATAATTCATAGTAAATCTAAACGTTGAACTAATAATTTAGTTAAACTGAACATAGGTATTAATTTAATCTTCATTGTTCACTTAGGGTGAATTGACTTCAGAAACTTAAGGACAAATGACCAAGAAGATGAGGAGCAGTTCACACCTCCTCTGGCCAAGCCCCATCAGGGTGCGCTGCCTGAGCTTCCTGCTGAGGGTGATACTCCAGCAAGAGCTGCCTTTCAAAATTTGGAAATTCAACCAGTGTGGACAAAAGTATCAACGTTTATGTTTCTCTTTGGTTTTTGCATTTCAGTAGTTCAGATTTCACTGAAAATTCATTGAGATCTTCAGCACATGGAAGATTAGAATCAGTAATATAGTATCATAATGAAGAGTAATTAAGGTGTTTCCTGGATACCAGAAGGCGATCAAGGAAAGCTCTTTTCTTTTTTTCCCAAGTCTCATCTGGTGCTATCAAGATTAAATGAAGCGCAACTCATGGTTAATGAAGTTTTTATTATTCTACTACAAAAAAATTTTGTCTCTTAAAATGCTTCCCTTTTGCCTTTCATACACAGTTTCTGTCCATACTTTGTCTATTTTAGTGGAGTCATATGCCATATTTAGCCCAGACAAACGATTTTAGATTTTACTAATTTCAAAATAGTAATAGTGTGTCATCTCTGTATATTGTCAGCCTGCTTCACAGGGCTGTAAGTTCATCTAAGACTCTTTCCACTACTGCACAGAAAACAAACGACCTTTCAGGGAAATACCTATCAGTGTTTCAATCACTGCTGCTGCTTTTCAGTAAGGATTATCAAAAATCTCAAACTTTATTCTCCTAGAAGTACAGAACAACTGCACTTTAGTAATTTTAAATGCTGGAATCTGGTTTAAGAGGGTGATTTGTAGCAGTAGGTACTACAGTGATTAATGAGATTCCAGTAGCTTTTCCCTAGCTTCCTGCCTAGAGAAAAAAAATAACAAACAAATAAACAAAAAACCCCACCCCAAACCCATAATGGCAGATTAGTTGTGTGCCTTTTGCTGCTTTTTGTAAAATGTTAATAGACTCTAAAGGTTTCATTTTTGAATGAGAACCATTTAAGCAAGAATTTTAGCAGATGCAGAGGACATTCAAGGAACTTGTGAAAATTCCTTATGTTCTGCTTTATAAAGTCTGTTACACACATTTGGCACAAGCTGTGAATCTAACCCGATTTCCAAGTATTTAAACGGTCCATAAAAAAAAAGCCATTTCTGTAATATAGTTATATTTTTCCTTTTTTTTTTTTTTCAAGTGCATATTAAGTACACATCTGAAGAAACAATATTGTACTCCTTTATTTTAGATGTAGGTAGCAGTCACAAGAGATTAAATGCTGTTATGTGTAACAAAGCATGAAGATGACAAGATGCATGAACCAGAGGCTTTTTAGCTCAGTCACATCATCCAGTACATAATGATTCAGATTTTGTATTTCAGACACCAATGTCATCTTGGGGTTGAAATCACTCTGGTTGAATCTGTATAAATAAGATAGCTCCCCACACCCCAATTACCTTCCTACTTTAAAAATAGAAAGGAAAATGAGTCGTCCTGAGTTTAGAGATGAGTTGTGTGTGGTATTTGTGATGGAAAATTCTTTCTAAAATAAACACAGTAATAAATGGTCTTCTTTTTTCCTCTCATACTTAAGGGGACAGGCTGCTTCTAGTGACAGAGTACTAGACTAGACTGATCCTGGTCTCTTTTAGGGTGTCAGTACATACTAATACATACAGCACTATATCTTAGAGTCATTAATTGTGTAAAGAAGAATATTTTTCTGTAGTTTTTCTATTAAATTTCTTTAAAGCCACATGCAGAACGTTACTTCCCATGTTGTATTTTAGTTCCAGCAACTCTAATATGGATGATATGCTGATGAGCTTTTGAAATCCTGAAAAACATGAATTTGACAGGGAACCTAGATAGGACTTTAAAAAATATTACAAATAATTTAACTGCTATTACAAAATTTTTATAAATGCTGAATAAGGGAGTCATTTAATAAATGCATTAGCCTCTATTAATTTAGTTTCTTCACTTCATTACAGAAGGACACTGTTGATCCAAAATTTATTAGCAGTGTTCTGCTAAGGCCAGCGGAGGGCAGGCTTGAATTGGAAACACTTTTTATAACTGCAGTTACTTGAAGTTAAAATACCAGATAGTGCCTCATCACTTCTCTACTATTCTAGTTACCCATGTGCTGGATAAAATCTTCTTTGCAGTCGCTGTTTGACAAAATGAGTGTTTTGCGAATGTTTAAATAAAGATGTTAATATGAAAGTGAATAAGTCAGTGCTGTGTCTTACTCATGAGGGATAATTCACATTGCTTAATCCTTAACCACATATATCTTGAAATGTTTTTTAAAATCTAGTGAATATAATTATCCCCATTTTACAGATTAAGAAACTGAGAAATAGAGTGGTAACCTTGTAGATTACCCATCTGGGTGGCATACAGAAACAAGAACAAAATCCACATTTCTGAGATGTAATCCGGTGCTTTGCACACATAAACTATTTTAACTCTTGGAAACATTATGGAAATTATTTCTAGCAGCCCAAATTGTGGAGTCTGAAGAGCTTATACTGATGAAATAGCAGGCAACCTGACAGTCAGGTTGTAGATCTTAAGAAGAATATACTTCCCGAGAAGATGGGTGGCAGTCAGATCAAATGCCTAAAGATCCACTTTAAAGTAGTATTTTATTATTAAAACAACTACTTTGCATTTTTAGGCATATTTATTATTCATTAAGTTAGGCTGTAGTCTTTCCAAAAACCTTTATGATAGCCTGTGTCTGACTCTTGTTATGTGTAATGTGTTATGGCTTCACACATTTTTAAGTGCTGTGTGAAGGTTTGTAAGAATGTATTATAAAAGAGGCCACTTTAAGCTTCTTGGTCATTTCTCCTTGTACCTTGTGGAACTGTACAGCTCACAAAGAATTGTTACCTCCAAATTGTCATCACTTTCCACGATTCACAGAAGCCTGAATATGCAATTATCTCAAAAGGGAAGAGATTCATTTGCTCTTCTGCAGAACATAAACTCTCCTTGAAATAACCACTAATTGAAGGCATTTGTATACAGGCTCATAGTAAACCACTGGATGCCTTAGCTCAAGAAGCAGAGAGAAAGATAACAATTCAATTAACAAAAACTTCTGCTTTGAGAAATGTGGTTTCCAGTGTCAGAGTTATTTTATAAATCCCTAATTATACATTGCTGGAAACTGTTAACCATTATTAGGGGCCAGTAAGTCTGAGGTTTGGGGGTATGGCTGGTTTTGCCTGCTGTAGGCTTCACAGGTTTACACCTCTACCTTCATAATGATCTTTTCTTTCACTAGTCCTAGATGGTGTATATTTTATTTGTACCCAACTTTCCCTTTTAATCGTAAAATATGTGTGAAATGTTCACAACATTAGTGATTCAAGAGCAGTTAGGATATTACTGCCTCAGAAACTCATCATTGTTACTTACAGTGGTGTTTGTTGTGCTGAGCCTGCCCAGCTGAGTTACAGAGGGCAGGGTTAACATTGCAAATAATAACTGTATTAGAGCAGTAGCTGTTGCTATAGGCAGATTGGCCAAAAGCCTGTCCCTCTGTTTCTTTACAAGGAAAATAAGGGGTGGATGGATGTACTATCTGAATAGAGAACATGATGTTGTTGTGTGCCTGTGCCAAAAAAAAATAAAATAGTATCTTATTGGGAAAGTAAACTTAGGTTTTTTTTTAAAAAAAATAATATTATACCACGTATAAAATACGTGTTTGATCAAGATCAGTTCATCTGGTAATGTTCCTTCAGAAGTGAACTTTAATGACAGGGAAAAGATACTTTTACATCTATGGAACTTAAAGCCTGCTGCTGTCAAGTGGCCAGGACCCTTAAATGAGTGTTGAAGTGTCCTTCTCTTAGTAAATCAAAAATGTTTATACTTACTGTCCCAAGTAGTAGAAGAACATCAGCAATTGCTTCCATGTTTAGAATTCTGTGGAGTCTGCTACCTGTGAGCAGACTCCACTTTATGAAATAAAGTCTCTGGAATTATTGATTGCTAACCTCATTCTTGACATACTTCAGCCTCCAACAGCCTGCTGCAACTTCTGTTACACCTTCTGGGATTCTATCTATAGCAACTGCTTTCTCTCCCCAGTTGGCTCCAAGCCAGAAATATATCCATTTGCACAAATGCTACTTAACCTTGTTCACACTGAGGGGAGGCGGGGAGAGTCACATTTTTCTCTTTCTATTTCTCCGGTTGGTGGATACTTTTAAATAAATTCACCATTTGCCGTATTTGCTGTGTAAAGAACCTGTGGCTACAATGCCTTTTCTAAACTACTGTTTGTTTCACTTTAAATGCACTGACTAAAACTATTTCTCCATGGTCATTTCATGGGCATCTTACTGTAACATGGGAGTCCTTAGCAAACACATTTAACCAATTTTCTGATAAGGTTATATTCTTCCTCCTCAGAAGGGCATTCTCAGTTGACAGAGAAAGTCTTTAAGACTTGCAGAGTAACCAGCACTTCTGAAGGCTGAAGAAAACATTGAGGCACAAATATTTCTCACCAGCTACGTGGCAAGTTCTGGTGTCCCTGTCATGAAGCAATTGCTTTATAATTGACAGGGAAGATTGTGCTTATCACAGGAATGCTACTGGTGCCCAAACTAACTTGTCTTCATTCTAAAAAACCTGTAGCTCACACACATACATGCACAGCATCCAGCTCTGGGGTCCTCGGTGCAGGAAGGACATGAGCAAGTCCAGAGGAGGCCACCAAGATAATTAGAGGGATAGAACACATCTCCTACAAGGAAAGGTTGAGAGAATTGTGACTATTCAGCCTAGAGAGGAGAAGGCTTCAGGGTGACCTGATTGTGGCCTTTCAGCATTTGAAGGGAGCCTACAGGAAAGATGGAGAGGGACTTATTACAAGAGCATGTAGTGACGGAACAAGAGGGAGTGGATTCAAAGAGAGTAGGGTTACATTAGATAACAGGAAAAAATTATTTGTGGTGAGGGTGGTGAGGCGGTGGAACAGGTTGCCCAGAGAAGTTGTGGATGCCCCATCCCTGGAAGTGTTTAAGGCCAGGTTGGATGTGGCTCTGAGCAACCTGGTCTAGCAAAAGGTGTCTCTGCCCAAGAGAGGGAGTTGGGATGAGATGTTCTTTAAGATCCCTTCCTACCCAGGCAATTCTATGATTCTATGTACATGTGTATAGACACTTATGCATTATATGTATATAAATGTACACAGAACTGCAGGTTTATCAGGATTAACTGAAAACAGCTTGGATATCAATACCAGCACCATTTCAGAGGATGTATGTGTAGACACATATCAGTGTTTTAGCTAACTAGGACCACCTCTGCAAATATCTGACATTAAAAAATTAGGAGCACTTTGATTGGAATAATTAGGTTGATAGATAGGAGTTCTGTAGTAGAGGCAGGAACAGATAGTTCTGATTTTTTTTTTTACTCCAATTTTCACAACAAATTCTTTTTAAAAAATGTTTTCATGCACTTCTGTACAATTTTGTTGAGCTGCACAGAACAATTGTTTTGTACAATTAATTAATTGTATTAATTCATTTGTTCTGTACAATTGTGTTGGACCAGAGTCCAGTCCAAGCTCTGAAAAAGACAGAAAGTGTGTGGTTACAAAAATAGTCACAGACCATGGCCCAGTGTTTGCATGCTAGATCATGAATGAGTATTTTGCATTAAGATTGTACATAGGACAATGTGTGGCGTCTCTTACTGCATTCTTCTGTGGCATCTTAACCACATTTAACTTCCATTTTTATTAGATCTCAATGCTAGGGAAAAAAAATGCAAGTTCTATCTTGTGCAAAGTTTGCTTTATCTCCAACTCTAATAAATCCAGCCTTGTACCTTAAAGTCCTTTCAGGTCTTCGAGTACCTGTCCCTAGAAAGCATTCCTCTGTGTAAGAACTCATAGGGTAAACTGCTGGATCAGTAATGTTCTGTTCTCTCTAAGGTACTGCATCATGCATTTCCAATTTTATTCTCTCCTCAATGCAGCTGAAGTTTTCAGGCTATCCCATTTAGCTGTATCTGTGTCATAAGTCACTGATATCAGGAACACATTTTAGCCTCGCTGTCACAAATTAATTGAGTTACAGAATGAAGAACAAGATTACTAAAAGAATAGGTTTTAAGATTCTACTTTCAAATAATAGTGAGTAGCTAAAAAAAAGCTAAAAGCCAGGAGCATGCAAGCTCCTACTGGTCAGTTTTCAGTTGATTACCACTGGCTTTTAATAACTATCTGCAAAAGACTAATTAGTAACTTCACTGTGCTATCCTGCATTTCAAAGTGTCTAATGCTGTCATGTAGCTGCACAGCTAACACTGACTGCTAACTCAACTTCATACCCAGCACTGGTCAGCACCACCAAACTTCAGCTTTAAGGTTTAAGGTAGAGTCAGCATTTTGCCTCCTGTCAGCAATAATCTATAAATTCCATTGCTGGGAACAAGCGAAAAGATATTAAACCAGGAATGGTTTGTTTTCCACCTACTAGCAGTAAATTTAGAGCAGTAACTTCATGACATCAGTGGGAGCAGTATGTTCAAATCTTCCAGCACGTCATGGGAAATACAGACTATCAGTTTTCCACTACTATTTTGGCAGGTGTAATTCTGTTATTTTTAAAGCTGTTTATATTGGCCACCTCAGTATTTTCATTATTTAATACATATTTCAGCATTTCAAAAAGCCTGTGCTTCAGCAGATATAGGGGATATAGTGTGTGTGTCCCCAAATTTTAGAGTTTCTTTCACCAAGTATGATATATTGCATTTACAAGCTTCATTTACACTTCAACAGAGCATTCATCTGTGTGTTGTCAAAGGCTGGGGGCGGGGCAGGGGCATTACATTAGATATTTTAGAGAGGTTATGAATTCTATTAAAAAGGACATCAGGAGTGTCTACAGCAGTTGTAGTGATCTGTAACAGCAAAGTAAAGGATGATGGGAATTAAGAATGAATGAAAATGTTTGAAAGCACCAGCAGGCACAGCAGAACAGAGGGTTAAAAGGATGGATACTTGTTAACACAGAAAACCATTCCCAGCAGGAAAGTTAAGGGATTGCTCTGCTCATGTCAAGACAGAGACCTGCACTTTGAAAACAGCCACAACAGAGATGACCTGACAGCAAAAGACCCAGGATCCTGATGCCAGGAGAACGGTACCAAGGCTGCAGTGTCAGATACACCCTGCCGTTCCTGTTGTGCT